CCATCTTAACAATTAAAAAATTTCGTTATTACACCTAAACCATTTTTTTACCATCCTAACAATTAAAACAAAAAAAAAAGCAATAAAAATACATATTTTCAGTTTTTCAAAAATCAAAATAGAACTGAATTCGATTTTTCAAAAATCCAAATATTCAAAATTTTCGCACGAGAGAGATAGAGAGGCGATAGATGGAAAAAAAGAATTGTTGAGGCAAAAATTCACCAAAATTTACTTGCAGGTATATCTTGTGAGTGGGATGAGGGATGAAATCCGTACGACAATGTCTAAAAGCTACCCGATTGGGTAGGTTACAAGAAGAGAAATTGGCACACCATCAAAGGCATCACCACCTGACCTACCAATTCTAATTCGCCTATAGCCCCTAGGTCTACAACCCCACTCATTAGGCGTCTTTATCTGATAACTTAAAATATAGTCAACTATTATTCTTATCGATTCTAAAGGTACTCATAATTTCTGGGATCCAGTGTCATATTATGCTTAAAGAGCATTTTGAAGTAATGGTGGCAGACGGTGAAAGATTAACAAGTGGAGGTAAGTGTCTTAATAAAAAGTATTATGCATAATTTTGGTTTTTTTTTTTTTTGTCTGTAAAAATGGTAAGTCAGTGAGGATTTGATCCCCTACCCTTTGATGAGAATGGAATCAAAAATCTCATCATGGAACTCGGCATAATTTTCATTTTAAGTTAAAGTATTCTTGTCTCCGCTTGGGAGTTGTGATATGGTATTAAGAGCTCATTGGCTCGAAACTTTGGAGCCGATTCTTTGGGATTGTGTAGAGCTTTGGATGCGTTTTACAATTGATGGCATATAAAGTATACAATTGAGGGAACCAAGCTTGAGTCAGAAAAATCATTAGTGCTAATAGCATGGAATTCTTTCTTCGAATGAATCACTTGGAGAAGGTAGTACTGTTATTTGCCTTGAATGCGGAGGGTTTAGCTTTTTGGGAACCCCCAATTCTACAACCCATTTTTTTTTTTTTAGGTAAACCAGTACGGATGATGCCCTGCAACACATTTTCGGGAAATGTGACGATGTGTTTGCGTAGTCGACAGGGTTATCTCAGCCTAGCTTATAAAATCATCAGATTCTTTTGGTCCCACGCAATCAACCCACCAATGTTAGACCGTGTAAGTACCCACATTTTCGGATTAATTTTTAATGATATTGAATGTTTGATATAAGAAATGTTAGAGGCTTGAATTATATTCCCACATGTAAACCCCTACTCATCTCCAGTTTGTTGATGAGAAAATGGGTGAATGCTGGCACATGTGCACGAGTTATAGAGCTCTGAACAAGATAACGGTCAAGGATATGTTTCCTATACCTGTCTTTGATGAGCTACTCATTGATCTTCATGGGGCTATTTTTTTTCCTAGCTCGATGTTTCGCTTGAGATATCATCATATTCGCATGCATGAGCAAAATGTGCCAAAAAAAACTTTTGGAACACATGAAGACTCTATGATTTCTTGTTAATGTCGTTCGGCCTCACTAACCCCCCTCCAAAGCCTGATGAATGAGGTATTTAGATCTTATTTGTGAAAAAAAATTAGTTTTCTTTGATGATATTCCTATTTATAGCCAATCTTGGAAAGAGCACGAAGAACATGTGCTGCTTATGCTAGAGCAATTGGAAAAATAACCAGCTTTATGTCAAAAGTTCAAAGTGTTTGTTTGGACAAGGTGAAGTAGAGTACTTTGGGCATATTATTTCACATAATGGTGTAAAGGCTGGCCCCCAAAAGATACAAAGTATGGTTGAGTGGCCCAAGCCTCAATCCCTTCAAATCGTTCAGGGAGTTTTTGGGACTCGCCGGTTACTATAAAATGCTTGTTAAGGATTACAGGAAAATCAGTATGCCACTTGCAGACTCCTCGAGAAGGACACTTTTAATTGAAATCCTAATTGAAATCCTAAGGCAAACCAAGCATTTGAATCTCTCAAAATAGCTATGACTACTACTTCTGTTCTTGCTGTACCTGGCTTCACTCAGACTTTCATAACAGTTTATGATGCTTCAAGAGTTGGGTTAGGTGGTGTTCTCATGTAGGATGGGCATCTCATAACCTTTACTGGTGAGGTTCTGTCAAGCAAGAGTTTGGCCTTATCAATGTATGGAACGGAGATGTTGGCTATCATTCATGCTGTTGCAAAGTGGCAGCCTTATCAGGTGGGACGATACTTCAAAATCTACACTAACTGAAGTATTTCATGGAATAGATAATAAATTCATTAAAACAACAAACGTATGTATCAAAATTATTAGGGTCTGATTATGAGATAATTTTTTGCGGAGGAATTGAGAATCAAGTTGTTGATGCATTGTAGAGAAGTTATCATGGCTATCTCTTTCCTTAGATCTGAGATGGATTTGGTAACGATGGAGTGGACTCGAAATCCGAAGTTGTTTGGAATAATCCCAAGGCTTCTACAAGATACTAATGTCATCCCGTGTCATTCCTACAAGAGATGAGAGTTTTGACATAAGGGGAGGATTGTCATTGCGCCTCAATCTCCATTGCGCGTGGATATTTTTAAGGTACTCCACTCTTCACCTAGTGCAGGACATTCAGGGTATTCATGGACATATTAGAGGAAGGGAAGGAAGTAGGGAACAAAATTGTTTATCGTAGAATATGATGTGTCATTTAACTATTTGGGATTACACATGGTCCATGGCCATTTAACTATTTAACATTTTATATTTTGTATTAATTTTGAAAAGCCATCAAATTACACATGATCATGAGTTGGAATAGCTGAAACTAATTGTAGCTAATAACTTAGTTGTATTTTGATAAATATTCCAGATATAAGTGAGGCACATGATCATGAGTTGGAATAGCTGAAACTAATTGTAGCTAATAACTTAGTTGTATTTTGATAAATATTCCAGATATAAGTGAGGAGGTATCTGAGTGAATTATATTTTAAAAAGTAACCACTTTCATGATAAATTAGTTTATTTAACAACCACCTTGTTTTGTTTTTTTTTTGCAGTTTATCCATTTTATTGACATTTCCCTTTTTTGGTGTTTAGGTGAGTCAACTCCAATTCCCTCATTTTGTGAATAATAGGCTTTTAAATGAGAATTATGGCTAATACATAAGAAAAACTAATACCAAAAATGTAATGCAATAGCCCTTCAAATGTTTTCAATAAAAAATACCTTTTATCTTAGACAGTTTTCAGCATTATTTTTGAAACATTAGTTTCATTCGATTTTTTGTTTTACCATTCTATTTAGTTTTCTCCTTTTTTTCTTTTTTTTTTCCATTTATTCCCTCTCTTTTTTTTTTCCTAATAAGACGACTGCCATACTTAACCATAACAACTTCCCAGCCAATGTAATGCCATACTAATGGCCATTAATGCTTTTCTTTTTACCTTTTTTTAGAAAGCAATTATTAAAACTTTATCTTAAGAGAACACAGATGGTGGTGTTAACTTTTCAGTATATTAGGGCAATACCATGGATTTTACTTGATTTGAATTTAAATCTTGTGTTGCCAAGGTGCCATAAAGTTAAAGCACTATTAAGCCTAAATGTGTTCCATTAAGGGCCACTTTTGAGTCATTGAAAATTAATTTTCAGGATATTTCTCTTTGGAAATGAGACATCCCTAAAGGTTTCGGTTGATTGATGCCTGAATTGGAGGAAAAATATTCTCATAATCTACAGTCTTTACCTTATTTTTAGGAAAATTATCTTACAACTAATAGGTGAACAAGTTATTCTGTAAAAAGGAATCATCTTCACTCCCATCACCTCTCACCAAGTGCAGTCGCGAAGTATTACTTATGAAGAGATTTTGGTAATGTCGGTGTGCCTCTCATGTTTGTCTACCATAGCATAAAAGAAAAAAGTGTGGTTAATAATCTAATGAGTTTGAAAACTATGTTAATAGCAAGGGAGAAAACATAATCAAGGAAATTACTTTCTTGTAAGGTTCTTAAAAATGGATCATCAAAAATAATTTCATTGGCTTAAGGGAAAAATCTGTTGAATCGTGAAACTCCTTGCAAAATCATTAAGGAGTTAAATGATCGCATTTACCACTATCATTTTTTTATTTTAACATGCATTTCAATCAATAACTCCTTAAAATATTTTTTAAAAGTTCCAACCTGTTCAATATTAGGAAACTTGAACAACAGGAGCATTTATGTAATTTGGCCCCACTTAAGTAGGTTGAGCTAAATTACAATGATTTTTTTGATGTTCAATGTTGGGAAAAGGAACAAGCGATTATGATGAAAAAAAATTATTTATGTGTTATTAGCGTTGAACATCGAAAGACACCATCATCCTTTGGAACTTTCTAGTTACCAACCTTCAACAACCAGGATTAGTATCATAATCTAGCACAATTGTGTGAGTGGGGACTAAATTATCAAAATGCCCCTAGTTGTTAAGAGTTGACAACCTTGAACATGGTTGATTTAAGAAGTTCAAAGAAAATTTTTTGGGGAAGTCCTTGAGTAAAATGATAGTTAAATACATATTAAAATGGTAATTATGATAATTTTGAAAGGTGATTTGAGGACTTTACTAATATTGCCCCTAATTAAACAATGCAACAATTGAGAATCATTCATTAGTTTAGTCTTAAATAGAGTTCTTATAAGTGGAGGTGGTAAATTGGCTAGGTTTAGGACAAAGGATAGGCTCGAATTATGGGCCTATCCCAGATCATATGGGTTCAGTCTAGATCGACATATATAACTATATGCTATAAAATATATAGTATATTTATATGTAATACAATAATATTCTACATTTTTCTATATCTCACCCCAAACCAGGACTTGGACTGACGTGGCAAATAGGACCTACTTAGGTCAGGGTCTGGTTTGAATCATGGTTGATCGGGCACTGAATTGACATATTTACAGCTCTCCCTAGAAGTTGGTCATATGACACTCACATGTTTCTTCATTGTATTGCCTTTATTTGAATTAGTCTGGGATGGCTGGTGCGCTAGATACGTTATGTGGACAAGCTTATGGTGCAAAACAATATCACATGATTGGTTTACACACACAAAGGGCTCAACTTATATTCCTCACCATTAGCATTCCCATTGCCCTTATTCTATATAGTACTGAAGAGATCCTACAAGCAGTTGGACAGGATGTAGAGTTATCAAAAGAAGCAGGAATTTATTCTAGATGGATGATCCCAAGTATCTTTGCTTACTCTCTCCTTCAAACCCTAACCAAGTTCCTCCAGACCCAAAATATTACCTCTCCAATAATGCTAACCACTGCAATTACTACATTGCTTCACCTCCCAATTTGTTGGATTTTGGTTTCTAAGTCTGGTTTAGGAAACAAGGGTGCTGCTCTAGCAAATTCAGTCTCCTATTTCATGAATGTCATGCTACTCACATTGTATATGAAGTTCTCTTCAACTTGCACGGAGACATGGACTGGTTTCTCTAAGGAGGCTTTTCAGGACACTGCACACTTTTTTAGGATTGCAATTCCTTCTACCATAATGGGCTGGTAATGTAAAATATTGCTCACTATTCTTCATTTATCTCTCTTCTCATTGTAGAAATCTTTTCTTCTCTTAATGAAAGATCATAGAAGCCATAAGTTTTAGCATTTGATTGTCTTATTGAATATGAACAGCGTGGAGTGGGCCTCTTATGAGATATTGATCATTTTGAGCGGTCTTCTTCCCAATCCAAAACTTGAAGCATCTATATTAGCAATATTATAAGTAACATTGACACTAGTTGCATGATTATCACATTTTATTACTTAAATTCACAAATAGGCTAACAATTGATTATGCCTTACCCAACTTGAACACAGAGGCAATGGTTTTCATGATTGCTCAAGGTCTTGGTGATTGTATAAGGTTAGGCCCTATCTAATACTCAATGCTTTAGAAGTTTCAAGGCACATGACAAATTTTCAAGCCTACTAGATAACTGTTAATTTTATTAGTAGAAGACTATCCTATCTAAACTTATTATATTATGTAATATTATTTTGTTGGTTGTTTGATATGTGTACATGTCTACATATGTGGTCCAGAACGTGTAAAACATCCACTTAAAGATGGATGCAAGTAGGTGTTCCATCTAAAAACAATGGAAACTAATGGTCCCAATGTTTTCTTACTAGAATTATTATTTTTAGTTTTTATAATTTATCTATTTTTTCATATTCATGATCTCCATGGTAGAGATTCCATGTTCTTAAAAATTAAGTCTTAAAATCTATCTCAAAAATAGATTTATTAATAGGCTCTCATTTCTACATATGCGGGCTTGGCCGCATAAAAACCGGGTCCTTTAGTTATTATTTAGATATATACATGTTTTTACTTGTTCTTTTCCCTAGATAGATAATGCTGAAGTGGATAAAGCTATACTAAGAAAATTAAAAAAAAAAATTAAAAAAGAGAAACTTATAAATAAAACTATTTGTACATTTATCTCAAATAATTGTATAACAACATTATCGAACAATAGATAACTCATCGTCCTGATTAATTTTATTGAAACAATGAATAATGATTGATAACAAGTACTTCAAACATATTTTTTAAGTAACTTTCTGTGTTTATCATCTTGTTTTTTCCAGTACAAGAGTTTCAAATGAATTAGGTGCAGGAAATCCATGTCGTGCCCTTTTTGCTGTTCGGATCGTGTTCCTCCTTATTACACTAGAGGGCTTACTAGTTGGTGGGATCATATTGTTGGTGCGCAATGTTTGGGGTTATTACTACAGCAATGAACAAGAAGTTGTAGATTACGTTTCAAGCCTTACACCATTGCTTGCATTTGCTAATATAGTGGATGGAATCCAATACATGCTTTCAAGTAACTATTTCCTTCACTCAAGTACTTAATATTCATTGGAATGATGTTTATTCAACAACAAAGATTCACTACTAATACTTTTAAATGACCTTGTATTCAATTAGAAAACAAATAACAATTATGAACTGAAAATATACATTTATCCTTCAGGTACAACAAGGGGTTGTGGTAGGCAAAACTTTGGAGCTCTAGCTAATCTGGGAGGTTATTATGGAGTGGGTATTCCTATGGGCATTATCTTGGGCTTTATATTCCATTTTGGTGCAGAGGTTCGGTTTTTTTTCTAAACTCTATTTCACCCATGAAATTAGGGACTAATTCCCAAATATTGTGTGTATGTGTGTGCTTGTGTCTAATAAGATGTATTATTGTAGGGTCTTTGGATGCGAATCATGTGCGGGAGCTTTGTGCAAGGATTATCACTTCTTATTATGATAATAAATATCGATTGGGAGCAAGAAGTAAGTAAAATTATTGGGAGCAAGAAGTAAGTAAAATTAATACAATGTGCTAGCTTCTTTTCATTTTGTTTGCTTTGTATTGATGATGTGGTTTTCACTTTTTTGTCAAATCGTCATTTATTATATCTCCTAAAATCAAGGTTTCGCACAATAACTAGTTTCACAACATGGTTGGGGGTCTTTTGATGGGCCATAGAGGTTTCAAATATAAGGTTCCAAGTGGAGAAGTTCGAAAGTAGACTGTAGGAATACTTTTGGGATTTTCCATGTGAATGTGTGGGAATTGCTACTTCAACAAGGTTTGCACAAAGCGCTGAAGGCAAATCCAAAGAAGTCAAGAGTGTATGTCGATGAGGATTTGGAAGATGAGGTATCATATAACGTCATCAATATGATCCCAGAGACAGTTCCGGACAAAGTTTGAGAATATTTGCATCACCGAATCCCTCATAAATTACTTGTATTTGAAACAACAACTATGCACCTTGAGGATGAAAGAAGATAACAAGTGTTTTAGGGCATGTAAATTAGTTCAATAGAATTACATATCAATTATTAATAATTGACTTATGATGGAAGACAAGGATAAGATTTTAATTGCATTGTCTTCTCTCCCTTAGTTTTATGAGCATCTTTCCATGTCTATACTCTATTGCAAGGATGTCATCGATTTAGAGGCATGACTTTTCCCTTTTTGAGATGAATTGAAGAAGAGACATCATGATGCTTTGATGCACGCATAAGCTTAGGTGACCAGACGACAAAAGAAAGTAAATAAAGGAGTTATGAAAGACAGTAGATACGAATGCCTTGAGGAAGGAGACCACATCAAAGTGATATTCTAATACCAAACTGTACCTAATCGAAAATGCGTGCACAGTCCATATTTGCCCAAGTTAGACATATTTGTTGCTATAACTTGAGTTATGTGGTGCAACCTAATATCTACTCTATGTTTACTATTGGCCCTTTACTAACAACCCTTACTTGGGGCGTGCAGAGCTATGGGGCAGGAGGCCTCGAACTCAAAAGCTTGGTGATCCTATGGGGGCAATTTGATATATTGATATGTTCTTTTCTGGTTAAGTTAGCATTGAGATGGTGTATGTGATTTGTTTGCTCTTGGTCATAGAGATTTCTCAAGGAAGAGTTGCCATGCATATTTGTTTAGGAAGCAGTAGTGAAACTCTTGATCTTTTTTGCCTATGTGAGGTGCTATTTTATGTTATTTCTTTTCATTTTGTTTGTTTTGTATTGATCATGTGGTTTTCACTTTTTTGTCAAATCGTCGTTGATTATATCTTCTAGGGTCAAGGTTTTTTCATGGCCATAGAGGTTTCAAATACAAGGTTCAAAGTCGAGAAGTTCGACAACAGACTGTAGTAATACTTTTGGGATTTGTCATGTGAATATGTGGGAAATGTTACTTCAACAAGGTTTGCACAGAGCACTGAAGGCATATCCAAAGAAGCCAAGAGCATATGTCGATGAGGATTTGGAAGATGAGGTCAATATGATCCCAGAGGCATAATTCTGGACAAAGTTTGAGAATATTTGCATCACAAAATCCCTCATAAATTTGTTGTATTTGAAACAACAATTATGCACCTTCAGGATGAAAGAAGATAGAAGTGGTTTAGAACATCTAAATTAGTTCAATACAATTACATATCAATTATTAAGAATTGATTTATGATGGATGACAAGGATAAGATTTTAATTGCATTGTCTTCTCCCCCTTAGTTTTATGAGCATCTTTCCATGTCTATACTCTATTGCAAGGACGTCATTAATTTAAAGGCATGACTTTTTCCTTTTTGAGATGAATTGAAGAAGAGACATCGTGATGCCTTGATGCATGCATAAGCTTGGGTGACTAGACGACAAAAGAAAGTAAATAAAGGAGTTATGAAAGTTGTAGATTCAGATAAAAATCAAAGTCATGTAAGAGCAATAGTTGATGGTTTCAGTTTTAAGAAAAGACAGAAAGACTATCCTATGGTCGAGGAGTATGATACTAGAGCCCTAGAAGCAACAAATATAGTTGACATACGACTAGATAATGGAACATATAATGGTCTATAAATGAGGACGACTTGTGATTGATCAAATAGCTATTTGATTCAGGGTGTTCCTATCATTTGTACATTCATCAAGTATGGTTCATTGCATACAAGAGCACTGATGGTGCCTTTATCTTGATGATGAATGTTTAGGACCATTAGTATAAGATGTATGTGGTCAGCCCTGGATCTGCCTCGCCCTGTCTCCCTCGAGGACCCGGGTCCAATAGCCGCCCTCTCGAACAACCGCCTGACCTCCACAAGCACGCATGTAGCTCGTGTGTTACGTACGGATAGGTACGTCTAACTATGAGAGGATTTTAATACCATGAAGGAGATGGACTCGAGCACCTACCTCACTACAGTTGTGAGTTCGTGGGATGAGCCCGGGCTATTGCCCTTTTAGATCAATGAACAAAAGCCCTACGGCTGTCCGGCAGTGCGGTTTGGGCATGACCCCCCTCTCGAAACTGGACACTCTACCTCAAAATCTAACTAGCAAACTGCTGATGGAATTGAAATAGGGTACTCTCTCTGATATACCTTTTTATGTGTGAATGGATTTAGTTTCGGTAGCAGAGTGATTAAAGAGATAAGAAGCAAGAGAGAGAAGGAAGAAGAGAATAAGAATGAGTGAATGGGGTTTAGAAGATAGAAAAAAAAGAAGAAGAAAAAGAAGTGAAAAATGACCCAAAGAGAATCAGGCAGCTTCTTGGCATAACCTCTCCCAAGAGGTATTACTGAAGACAAGGAAGACACTAGGCTTGAAGCCCTAGTACCAATAGTTTGGAAAGTAGAGTTACTTGATTGAGCCTATAACTATGTCACTAAACCAAAAAGCCCATTGAAGGTGATCAAATGAAAAGAAGATGAAAGAGAAAGAAGCTTCTCAACCCCCAAACACTATGTGACTCCGTGGTTCGAGTAGCAAAATGGTCAGAACTTTAAAGAAAGATGACTCAGGATAACCCCACCCAAGTAACCGAGTGCAAGAGAATTATTATCTCTTACGACTTGACTTCACTTTAGGAGATGGTGGTTAGAGTAACAAACCGAGAGTTAGAACCTTAGGGCTCTATCTCAAGATGACCCCGAATCGAGTGCTCAAGAAGTGAAAGAAACGACAATCAAAGAGAGAAGGATGGAAGAATTATAAAATAAAAATAAAATAAAGAAAAGAAGGAATTAAAGAGTGTGATCTAGAGAGAAGAGAATGGAGAAGGGGTTGATGGAATCAAAGAGGTGAATAGAACATGGAAGAAGCAGATAGAGGTTACGTTGTGCTAGGGATGGATGGAAGTTAGGGTGTGCTAGGGCAGATGGAGGCATTGGAGTGGTAGGGGCAGATAGAGGTTAGTGAGTGTATAGGGGCGGAGAGAGTTAGTGAGGATATGGGACAGATAGAGGTTAGGATGGATAAGGTGTGAGTGATATGTGTAGGACTGAGGTAGGCGCAATCATGAGATGTGGGGTGTGAGGGTATAGAGGTGGATAGAGGGTAAGAGAGTGAGGGCAGATGAGGTTAGTGATGATATGGGGTGGATAGAGATTAGGATGGATGAAGACACAAGTGAGAGGTGTAGGACAAGTGAAGGAACGGATTGTAGATGTCAGGTGTGAGGGTGTAGGGGCGGATAGAGTGTAAGAGAGTGAGGACAAATGAGAGTGTAAAGTGAGGGCAGATGGGAGAAGGGCATGAGAGAGGTGAGTAGATATGGGTAGACAGGGGTTAGGGTGGATAGAGATGAGTGGACGAGATAGGGCGAATGGCGACTCCACTGGTGACAAGCCACCCTATCACTGGCTTGAACTGTTTTCTGAAAACAACTTCCCTTCTTTCTCTCTCTAAAATTGCAATGGGATCTCATTATCCTTCCTTTGTCCAGATTGTGGATTTCTACATCCCCATATTTGAGACTTCACTTGTGGTGAGCGGATCAGCTGATCCTACCTCCCCCACATCCTACTCGAGCGCATTAGATGGCCCTGCTATCCTAGTCCAACTTAGGAAAACTCAAGGTCCCCTTGTCCCTCCTCCTCAGGCATCAAAGGGAAATCCCTTGATGTCAATTTCATGGGTGGCACTTCGGCCACCCCTCCGCATAAGCACTTTGTCCCACTACTCCTCTTCGCTCAGTGGGTCCCAACAAGACCACTGTCTTTGTGGGTAACCAAAAGGTAACCCCACTTGTGTCGCACAAGGGCGTCGCTAGTGCTGGCACATCCCCACACACACCACACTTTGGCAATTTCAACGCCAGTCCACGTGGCCTTGCAACTCACGTGTACACATACACATACATCATCGCTGACGGTCTAATCGTTACTGTGATGAGACGGGGCAAGAAACAACCCACCCCTCTGTTCAATTGCTTCGAGTTTCTTCCAACCCAAACACAACACAGGTGGTCCTAATGCCATCAATACTATGCATGCTAACCCTGCAGCTCGGGGCAGCCCAAAGGCTGTGACCAAACGAGTGCACAACTTTCGAGACAATCGAAGGAAACAAATGCACCTGCATGTTGGAGGTCGTAAGGCCTCCCAAACTAAACAGGCGAGTATTGCAAATACTCAACACCTTGCTTCATGAGGGGTTGTACATAGAGCAACCCTAAACTCTACTATGGATCTAGTAAACACATGCAGGTCCAGGGACGCTGTCGGTGAAAAAGGGAACCAAGCCACAGCCTCCCCGGCTGCCCCAAAGCTGCTCGCTGCATGGTACTCGAAGAAGTTTCCCTCGAGCACCATCCTCTCCACTCCTCCTTCCTTGCACGCGCGAGAGAGCCCCCGGGACAGGGTTTGAGATAGAAGGATGCAGTCGATGACCAGTCAGCACCCCCCTCCTCCAGACAAATATAAAGCCCCAAGGAATACTAAGAGCTCTCTTCTCCTCGAGCACCATACCTTGCCCGAGTTGATCAGCTTTGCCCACGCATCCATCGAGCGAGCCTGTCAAGAAAGAAATTGGAATCATTTTTTATTCTAGAAAAAATTTTACCGGAGCTTGCGGTTTAAACGAGCGAGGGGCATGGAAGCGCCACTCCGACAGCGAAAAGTAGAGTCATCTACCTCGGAAGCCCTACTGAGCCAAAACATGTTTAAACTATTGCGGGACGCGAAGGAGCCTAAGACGAGAGACTCCGCTCACTATTGCGCCATCGTGGTGCAGGAGGATAGGCCTGTTCCACCCAACCCGCGGCCCCAAGGCCGTCACAGGCAAACAAGAGGAGCACGACCTCGAGGCCGTCACGAGCCCCACCAGTTTGAACGTTGGCCCTAAGGCCTTCAAGCGCCAAGTTTGGCAGCGGCGAAACCCTAGCGATCTTCCAAATCCGACTGGAGGAAGGTATCAAGGAAGTCGAATAGAGAAGACTCCTCGTATCGAGAAGCATGCCACATGCAAGTGTTCCACCAAGGATGCAGAGTAGCCTCGGTTGACCGGATGCGACTACAGCCAGGAAGGAGGCCAAAACTAGACCACTAGTCACCTTCATCCAAACCTTGAAATACCTTGAGCCGCCACTAATCTCATATTCAGAGCCAGCCATTTGTCTTAATAAGTCGTCCTCTTCCTTGAAGCACCTTGAAACTGCACCAACACCTCATACTTGCACTTTGACTACCCCTCTCCAAATCCCCACTTCGGTGTAGCCTCCACCCTTTCTTTGAAGTGTGAAAGAGGACCCCCCTTTATTACCTGAAGGCTAGTGCGTAGCATCCATCTCGCCAAGAGTGCCTTAGCATCTGGGGGTGACGGGGCAGGAACTAGATAATCGATTACATTAAGAGGAGGGATTTCAAGAACAGGGTCCCCGACGACGATAGACAATGACTCGCCTATGACAGCAAAAGGCTCGGATGAAGGGTCTCCCACATACACCTCTAGAACTGATGACTCTGGAGCTGGTGCGATCGCCAAACCTGAAGGAGGGACCCCCAAAGTGGGCGTCTCTTCCCGCAGCACTCCTAACTCAATCAGAGCATGCACCGCAGGATGAGGAGGACACAACACGGTTGCTGACAGAAGGCGTTGATTTCACCTCTACTCCCGAGGAAAGGCCTTCTGATGCTGACCCCGAATTGGATGAGGATGAACTTGGTCCTCCAGGTCATGCCACAGTCGTTCCTGCCCCTACTATCGAGGCCAAGACGGGCATTGCGAGAAACCGGGTCGATGCTAAGTGAACCCCTACTCACTTGCGTTTCACAAGGGGAGACGTCAAAGATGTGTCAAAAGTAGACGAACCCTTCTTGCTCACGCGAGCCCCTCCTGCCAAGGCTGGGGAGGCAGACTTCGACTTCTTCACCCCTTTCCTCTTCTTTCCACCTTTTCTACCTTCCCTCTCTCTCAGAGGAACACTCATCGGCTCTACAGGTGCAAGAACCCTCGGGCCGCACTTGGGCCTGTCAATTCGGTCGGAGCATGACCCACGTCCCCCCAGAGCAGTTGAACTTTGGGCAG